GACACTCTGTTTTAGAGCCAAGGACAGTCTAATGCTTCAGTGCAGCTTTCAGCTACTTTAACCAAGAGGACCTCCTTTCTTTTCCTGCAAGTCCCTGCCTCATACACTACATGCCTTCCAAACATTACTCCAGGAAGCTGTACAGGTGCTATTCTCTGAATATGTTCCTCTGAATGGTGTCCAGTGTTCCCTCTAAGCAGGGTGGCAGCAGGGCATCACAGCTGATTCATCAGCCCCACCCAGTCAGAGGCTCTGGGCTCCATGTGCAGAGCTGACAGACTAGGTGGAGCTAATGAATCACCTGTGAAGCTATTCTGCCCCCTAGCTTATAGGGAACACTGGTGGTGTCTGCTGACTCCATAAAGGTCTTTGCAGAGCAGTGGGTAACCTGCTCAATGCCCGTTCCAATCCCCTGATTTTCACCCTATGACATTCACTCCCATTCTTGGTTTTTTTTTTTTTTTCATTTGTTGTCCTCAGTATCCACTTGAAGCTCAGATTCACTGGCTTCTCCTCTTCAGATAACAGGAAGGGCCTTTTAGCTATAGTGGGTTTAGGTCAGTGGTCACCAAGCAGTAGATCCCAATCTACTAGTAGATCTTGGAGCCTCTGGCAGGTGATCCTGACTGGTTTGGCCAGGAGGCTATCAAGTGCCAGCACTTCAGCTGCTCCTTCCCCCCAGTACTGCTCCTCTCCTGCCCTTTGCCTTGGAGCTGCCGCTCCCCCTGGGGACTCTCTTGCTTTCTGTGCAGGGCAGGGCAGGGGAGGGATGCTGATGTCAGGGTGCCCCCTCCCTCTCTGTATCCTTTCTCCACAGAGCAGAGAGGGGGCTTTAGGGAGTGGGCCAGGGCCAGGGCCAGGGCCAGGAATAAGTCTGCCTTAGGCCCCTGCACCACCACCCAGGAGCAACCTGAGGTAAGTAGTGCCCAGCTGGAGCCCACATCCCGAACTTCTACCCCAGTCATGAACCCTCTCCTGCACCTGCACCCCGTCATCCAAACGCCAACCCAGAGCCTGCACCTAGAACCCCCTCCAACTGCCTGCCCCAAGAGTAGCTCAGAGCCCCTCTCACACTCCAGATACCTTAACCCAAGACTAGAGCCTGCACCCCAACCCTCTGCCCCAGTCTGGTGAAAGTGAGGGAGGATGGGCAAGAGAGGGAGGATGGAGTGAGCAGGGGCGGAGCCTTGGAGAAGGGGCAGTAAGGAGGCAGGGTGAGAGTATTTATATTTGAGGTAGATCTTAGACTGCACTTAAATTAAAAAAGTGATCTCGTACTTAAAAACCCCTGGCTTAGGTCTACAATATCCCACCAACCACAAAAGATAACATCTTCTAACCCTTGTGACAAATGAAGCAGGAAACCTAATCACAACAGCTTCTTTCAAATCTGAGGAATTGTCCCAGACTGAGGTGTAAACGTAACAGTAACAAGTTATTGGGACCAGATGGCATTCACCCAAGAGTTCTGAAAGAACTCAAATGTGAAGTTGCGGAACTATTAACTGTGGTTTGTAACCTATCCTTTAAATCAGCTTCCATACCTAATGATTAGAAGATACCTAACATGTCGCCAATATTTTAAAAGGACTCTAGAGGGAATCCTGGTAATTACAGACCAGTAAGTCTAACATCAGTACCGAGCAAATAAGTCAAAACTATAGTAAAGAATAAAATTGTCAGATACATAGATGAATGTAATTTGTTGGGGGGAAAGTTCACATGGTTTCTATAAAGGGAAATCATGTCTTACTAATCTGCTAGAATTCTCTGAGGGGGAATCAACAAACATGGGCAAGGGGGATCCAGTGGATATAATATTCTTAGATTTCCAGAAAGTCTTTGACCAGGTCCCTCACCAAAGGCTATTAAGTAAAATAAGTTGTCATGGTATAAGAGGGAAGGTCCTTTCATGGATTGATAACTGAGGCCACTCCCTGCCAAAGTTCAGTTTCTGCTTCAAAGCACTGGGGACTCTATAGCTTTTCAAAGAAAGGTCTCCAGGTTTTTTTTAAAACATGCTCCAAAGAACATTTTTTTACATTTCTCATTCTCAGAAATAGCTAAAATATATTTTGGCTGAAATTTTCCAAAAACTTCAGCCTGAGGCACACATCTGCATGAAAAATTTCAGACCAAACAGTCTGACAAAGTTTTAAGCAACCAAAACCAGAGTCTTATCACGGAAAAGTGTCTGGCAGTATTGCCAGCTCGGACTATAGTAAAATATTCATTTTTGATAAGCTACAAACAATCCACTATTGTAAACCAAATATAGGTGTTCTGGTAAAATATAAGGAAGGCAGCAGGTAGCAGTGGTGACCCATCCATAGAGGCAAACTAGGAGGCCACCTAGGGTGCCAAAATTAAAAGGTGTTCAGGGGCTTGGAGGCGGGGGTGCTGATCGTGCATCGATTGCACGTTTCGCCTACGGTGCCAGTTGCCAGCAGCTTGTCTAGGGCTGCTCCTGGCCAGGTAGGCATACAATAATATATCTAAAAGAATTGCTTTACATAAGTATTACTTATGCTGAAGCATCCATGATATGCTAGCCACCTTCCAAACATAAAAGGCCCAATTTAAAACCAAAGATAAGTACAACTTTTACATTCTTGTTACCCTAACTTGCAAAAAACAAATCCCTCCCCCCAAGTAAAACAACAACAAAAAAGCAAGCAAGAACCTCTATGTTCTACAAGAGATTGCACAATCATTGGGAGCATTTTCCAGCCTAGTATGATCCATTGCAGACATCTGACTAAATGCAACAGGCACTGAAACAATTCTGCCATTCTTCCTTTCAAATAAGTGAGCCCACCCTCGTGCAGCTTGTCTACTTCTCCCCATTAACTCCCAAACACACAGCTTTTTTATAACCTGCTCCACAGTCTGTTAGACACAATTCCACAAGCATTTATACACAGGGTTAATTTTAGGACTGTCCATAAAATTATTGATTTCAGTGGGACTATTCAATTAATCAAATTACTGTTTGCAGAAATAGGAGCATAATCTGTAACTGCTAATTCTTCTATCATCTGTATAGTTTGAAAGCTAGTTTCTTTCACTAACATACATTGGTCTATTCAAAGATATTACCTCATCCACCTTATCTGTAATGAGGGCAGGGGACTGGACTTGATGACCTCTCGAGGTCCCTTCCAGTCCTAGTATTCTATGATCTGTTAACTTTACCAATATAAACTGAGAAACACTTGCTTAAAGGCTGTGTAGCTAGTATGGATTTACATCAATCTGACAGAGAAGAATAAGGGTCGTTGGCCTTAAATCACTTAAACCAAGAGAGACTGCTGACTAAATCAGTGGCAGTTTTGCTACTGAATTTAGTAGGAGCAGGAAGAGGCCCCAAGAAAGTAACTGGTCAGCAGTTACCTGAGCTTTTAGTCCTCAGCATAAATCTCAAGTTAACATTACATCAGATTTGAACCATAAGAAATAATTCTTTGTTTAGGCAACATGAATAATTTAATATACACACAGATGTATCCTATTACATACAGCTGTTCTTGTCAAGGGCAACCTACTTGCAGAATTAGTTCCTATGCACCCTGTTAAACACCATTCTTCAGAATGTCCCAAGTCCCAAATCTTTTACACTGTAAAATAGTGGACGTATTTATCCCCCTGGTATGCAGTCATTGTAACCAGGAGAATAAAGGATGGATTAGACAAAAATGCAGACTGAGCATTTCACACTTTGATGCTTTAGGAGGTTTTCTTATTATAATATTACAGAGTTGCGTGTATACTGTAAATCTCACCACAGGTTAACATTTTTGTTTCTGATTGCATCCCCTCCAGCCACACATTCCACCACTTTCCCCATAGTTACTGAAAGAACAAGTTGGAACACCTCACAGGTAAAACATACAGTATAATATAGAAACCCACAGTATTTGGAAGGAATTTAATGAGAAGTGAATCCCATGGCTTATAGTTCCCAGGAAAATACAAATAATGGTTAGTCAGTCAGTCAACAACACCAGGAGGATGTTCCAGTTTCCCTGTTCTATGGATAAAACACTGGGCAAGGTTAGAGGGGAGCAAGGTTAAAGGGGTGTAAACAATTTAAGAACAGAATTCACATGGCTTAAAATGTAAATTGATGCAGGAAATTAACATCCTGACCTGATGCAGTGTAAATTAAATTGGATGCTAATCAGGTTGTCCAAGATAGCTTGGAAATTATACCTGTGTGACACCTGCCTAGAGCAAGAATCGCCTGGATATGTTACCAGTAGTGTCAGTCCCCTAGGTCAGTATATAAAGAAGAGGCTGAAGGAATGGACAGTTCCTCCTTCAATATTTACAGTTCTAGCCTTGATTAGGAGTCGCTTTGTGTTGCCCGCTCTCTACTTCCAGGCGCCACTCCATTTTATCCTCAGAGGGCAGCTAAACGAAAGAGATTAAGAGGAGCTCAGAGTACACAGGAGCCTGGTCTGGGGGGCGGGGGTACGTGGCAGTGGGAAGAGCTCACAACTTCAGTGGTGGGCTAAAGCTGCAGGGTCAGTATTTCAGCATCTTTCCCGGTTCCACTCAGCCAGGGGCCAGGTTGGTGCGGCAGGTGGAAGCTGGGCTGAAATCCCTTCCCACCCCGGCGCTTTGCACGTTCGGGTGCGGGCTGAGCAGGGTCCGGCGGCCCAGCACCTGCCTACAGGGGCAGTGGGAAGAGCTCACAACTTCAGTGGTGGGCTAAAGCTGCAGGGTCAGTATTTCAGCATCTTTCCCGGTTCCACTCAGCCAGGGGCCAGGTTGGTGCGGCAGGTGGAAGCTGGGCTGAAATCCCTTCCCACCCCGGCGCTTTGCACGTTCGGGTGCGGGCTGAGCAGGGTCCGGCGGCCCAGCACCTGCCTACAGGCCCCTCAAGCCGCGGTGCCCAGCTCCATTCGCAGCAGCCAGGCAAGACTCTATGGGGCTAACCGAGTCCAGCGGGATCCGGATGCCGCGCCCGCCCCACGCAGACCCCTCGGGAAACCCACCTTGGCTGAGGAGGAGCAGGGAGAGCCACATGCCGCCGCGCTCCGTGATTCCTGCGCAGCGAGCTCGCCCCGGGCCGCGGCGCTGTGGGAAGCCCAGCCAGGGGCTGCCCGGCTCCTAGCGCTGCAAGGTGCGCTCGGCCGCACTGTGACCGAAGCAGCAGAGCCGCGAGCGAGTTTGAGCTGCCAGCGGACCTGGGTCGCATTGCTCTGCCGCCGCGCCGCCCTCGCAGGCTCTCCCCTGCCTCCAGCGCCGCGAACCTGCAGCGTCAGAAGTGCCCGGCCCCACAGGCAACCACACGCCCCTTCCGTCATCTGGAAGCGGGTCCCCTCCCCCTCACAGGACAGCCCGCCCTTTGCCAACCTGTCCCCCACTGTGGCCCCTCAGCTGCACACTAACCTGCCCCCCAAACACACATTGACCTGCCCCTCCAAACACTCCCGACTCCAGTAACTTGCCCGATCACACCCTAATCTGTCCCCCCAAACACACCACACTACTCTGCCTCCCAGCCCCAAACTAACCTGCCCTATACACTCCACCCACTCCACCCACTATCCTACTCCTCCAAACACCTCACCAACCTGTCCCCTCTAATACACCTCAGCCCAATAGCCTGTTCCCAACCCACACTAATATGCCCCTCTAAACATACCCAACCTCTCCGGCAAATACACTTCACTCTGACAACCTTTCCCCTGAACACACACCAACTTGTCCCTCCAAACACACCTTATCCCAAAATCTGTCCTCGAGCCACACACTAATTTGCCCTTCCAAACATACTGCACCCCACCCGTGTCCCCTTTAATTTTTCCATCCATTTGTGGAATAAATTTGGTTAGGCGCACTGGGGCACCACCAACAGAAACACAGGTTGACTCTGAGCACTGTTCTAATCAGCTGGGCGGCGTTTCAAAACATCATAGGCAGTCCCCCCAGTGCTCAGTTTATAGGTAACACAGCACCCCACTAATCTGCCCCAATCCACCCAAACACCCCAGCAACCTATCTCTCTAAACAAATCCCCTCCTATTAACATACACCACACCCACTAACCTGCACCCCCAACACATCCCACCCTCTAACATGCCTCCCAAACACACACTAATCTGCCCCTCCAAACACACCCTACCAGTCTACACCCCACACCACTAACTTACAGCTCACAACCTGCCCTTTCAAACACACCAACAACCTGTCCCTCAAAACAGTAACCCCCCAGCCACACTCTAATCTGTCCCCCAAAAATCCCACCAATGTCCCCAAATACATTCCACCATGCTAATCTGCCCTCCAAAGCATACACTAACCTGTCCCTCTGAGCACCTCCCAAACCACTAACCTGTCTCTCCAAACACACTAACCTGCCCCCAAACACACCTCACCCCCTTAATCTGCATCTGCAAACTAACAATCCAATGCACACAATCTTTGCCTTTCACCACACTCTGCATTTCAGAAACCTTACCTAAGATCTATTTGCCTCCACCAACACAGGCAGTCCCTTCCCCAAACTGATACTATATTATAGCCGTGCCTACATAAACATAGGAGTTTTGCTGCATGCTCTGAATGTAGTAGGAGTTTGGCTCAGACTCCCAACATCTCTGTTGGACAGGAGTGGGGAAACTCAGGCCTGGAGGCCAGATCCAGCCCACCCAGCTAATTAGCAGAGGTGCATACTTACAGCTGGCAGCTAAAGTGTGTGTTCAGCTGCTCCTCCCCCCATCTTGCTCTATCCTGCAGCCTAACTGCTTCCAGGATTCTCTTGCTAGCTGTGCAGGAGAAGGGGAGGGTGGAGAGCAGAAGGAAGTGCTGAAGTCAGGGTATTCCCCTGCCCCTGTACCCCATCTCTGTAGAGCAGCGATTGTAGATGCCCATACACAGTCAGCAGAGCTGTTCCAATCTCAGGTTTAATTAAAGATCTATATTTTGTAATCTAAATGACTGCTACTGAATTTCCATTCTGGCAGACCAGAGTACCACAGAATTCAGGAATCTTGCCAAAGAATTGAGTTCAGTTGTTACAGAGTACACAGGACATTGCCTGCAGTGTTCTAGTTAATGGGCCATATTTGTGTCTTTAACAGAAGTCTACCCCATTGAGAATGTAAAGGTCTGAATTGGAAACTGATCTGAAATTGAACAGGAAAAACCCGTGTAAGAGGCTGGAGATCTGTGCTGTTTTTAGCCAATTAGCACTAATACCACTATCTGAATATATTCAAAGCAGGGACAAACATTCCCCCCTTCTCTTTCCCACAATTCTAACATGTACCGTATTTAAATTCACATTGCTCTCTTTTTCCATTCTGTTTGGAATCTACTACAAGGATTCTTTGATGAGTAAATTTAAAATTTACATTGGGATGATATAGTATTGGTAAAATTCTCCTGGAGTAATCTTGGAATAGAGTGCTTTCCCTCCTAATTTAGTTCACACCAATTTCAAAATGACATATGCCCTTGGCTGCAAACAAGCCCTTAGCTTCTGTTTTGATATGATTCTAACAAATATTCTCCCAGTTCCTAATTTGTATTTTAACTTCTGAATCAGCATTCCAAGTTAAAATGAACAGATCTGTTGAACAGATGGATTTGTTCAACAACTAATTATAAATACTGGGCAAGGAATCTTTAGAAACAGCAGGGAATTCAGGAAACTAAATGTCGGTAGTTGTCAGGGGATCTTGCTTTGTTTTAACATACTCCTGATCTGTAAATCTCACCAGCATTGCTTTCTAAGTACATTGGGGCTAGTCTACACTGCAGGCTTCTTGCGCAAAACAGTTTTGTGCTTGAGTTCTCGCACAAAGGTATTTGCTCAAGATAGCGTCCACACTGGCGGGACACTCATATGCAAAAACTTTCCCCCAGAACTACTTTGGAGAGGGCAAAAGGGCACCAGGACTTTCCAGGGGTGGGGGCTGGAGCTCCTTTGAGACACGTCCACACCACAGTTGGTGCTGTCGTGATGCAGATAAGTCCACGGGGGGTGCTGCACTCCCTGTCTGGGGGAAGGAAAGACTCCAGGCTGGAGGGAGTGGAGGAAGCCCCATCACTCAGGGCCTTGTGCCATCCCTCCCTCACATAGGCCTGGTAGAATGGGGGTTGGGCTATGGGGCGAGGGTGCCCTGGTGTGTTTGGGGGCAGAGGGCATCACAGGGGGGCGGGCCTGGATAGCCGTTTCTCTCCTGCTATGTGCTTTGGGACCTCTTGAAGGGTCTGAAAGCTGTAGCAGTGCTGGTTGCAGCTGCCCTCTGCCTTATTGGACATCACAGCTTTGTGCCCTAGTGCCTTTTGTGCATTTTGCCTTCTCCTTGCTGTGCCATGGAGCCAGGGGAGGCCCTATGCTTGTTCTGGCCCCACACGGCCATTTTGGAGTGCCTGAAGCTGCTGCTCCATGCTGCCACGCTACTTCTGCAGGAGCTTGAGACTAAGATCACTTTGGACTCCCTCTCCACCGATGCGGTGGCATCTCTGTGGCATCCCCACCTGACTGTGGAGAGGTGATATTGGAGACTGGACACCAGTACCGACTGGTGGGACAGACTGGTCTTGGAGCAATAGGATGACCAGCAATGGCTCCGGAACTTCAGGATGCGAAAGCAGATGTTCCTGGAGCTGAGTGCCTGGCTCGCCCCTGCGCTCCTGAGATGTACCACCCAGCTGCAGCTCACCATCCCTGTGAACAAGAGGGTCGCCATCGCCCTATGGAAGCTGACCACCACGGACAGCTACTGCTTGGTGGGACACCAGTTTGGGATGGGGAGGTCCACAGTTGGTGCTGTCGTGATGCAGATAAGTCCACGGGGGGTGCTGCACTCCCTGTCTGGGGGAAGGAAAGACTCCAGGCTGGAGGGAGTGGAGGAAGCCCCATCACTCAGGGCCTTGTGCCATCCCTCCCTCACATAGGCCTGGTAGAATGGGGGTTGGGCTATGGGGCGAGGGTGCCCTGGTGTGTTTGGGGGCAGAGGGCATCACAGGGGGGCGGGCCCCTCCCAAGGGCTCATGCACCTCCCTATCTCATTCAGTGCATTCCTTGTGTTTTTGTGTGCCCTTCTACAGGTTGTCCATGCCATCAAGGACATCCTGCTCCAGAGGGTCATCCGCCTGCGGGACATGGATGCAAATGTGGCTGGCTTCGCTGCGCTGAGGTTCCCCAACTGCAGGGGAGCCATGGATGGGACCCACATCCCCATTCGTGCCCCGGAACATTGAGTGGCCCATTCATAAACCAAAATGGGTACTTCTCTATGGTGCTCCAGGCCCTCATGGACCACCGGGACTGCTTCACAGACATTTATGTGGCAAGGGGGGCGGGCCCCTCCCAAGGGCTCATGCACCTCCCTATCTCATTCAGTGCATTCCTTGTGTTTTTGTGTGCCCTTCTACAGGTTGTCCATGCCATCAAGGACATCCTGCTCCAGAGGGTCATCCGCCTGCGGGACATGGATGCAAATGTGGCTGGCTTCGCTGCGCTGAGGTTCCCCAACTGCAGGGGAGCCATGGATGGGACCCACATCCCCATTCGTGCCCCGGAACATTGAGTGGCCCATTCATAAACCAAAATGGGTACTTCTCTAGAGGGTCATCCGCCTGCGGGACATGGATGCAAATGTGGCTGGCTTCGCTGCGCTGAGGTTCCCCAACTGCAGGGGAGCCATGGATGGGACCCACATCCCCATTCGTGCCCCGGAACATTGAGTGGCCCATTCATAAACCAAAATGGGTACTTCTCTATGGTGCTCCAGGCCCTCATGGACCACCGGGACTGCTTCACAGACATTTATGTGGCATGGTCTGGCAGGGCACATGATGCCCACATCCTCCATAACTCCAGCCTGTATCACAGGATGGAGGCGGCCACTTTCTTCCCCCCGCAGGAATGTACAGTTGGGGATGGCCACATGCCTACCCCCTCATACCTTGGTTGATGCGGCCCTACACAGGACAGATGGATCCCAGCCTGCCATATGCCTCTTTGCATTGTGGGGGATGCAGCCTACCCCCTAATGCCCTGGTTGATGCGGCCCTACACCAGACGGATGGACCCCAGCCAGGAACGTTTCAATCAGCACCTGAACCGGGCCTGCAACCAGATTGAGTGTGCTTTTGGATGGCTGAAGGCACGCTTCCATCATCTGCTCACCCATCCCGAGATGGGTGAGCAGAACATTCCCTTTGCATTGTGGGGGATGCAGCCTACCCCCTAATGCCCTGGTTGATGCGGCCCTACACCAGACGGATGGACCCCAGCCAGGAACGTTTCAATCAGCACCTGA